TGTCATCATATTTTTTACTGAAAAAATAGTGAGTAAATTGGAGTATTCTGGGAAATTAAGTGTTATTTAATTGGTGAAATATATAACATTTTCTATGGGTGGCATTATTAATATTATTTAATGTTTCTGAAAATAGCCCAAATGGTGTGTGTATGATCATATTTATAGGTAATTTATACTGAAACATAAAAAAACACATTACATTTTAATTCTACTTGCTTAAATTCAAATTTAAATTGCAATTCTACATCCTGTTTGGTGAGAAAGGGACCGAACCATTGAGTCCTTTTAAAAAAAAAAAGGTTTTCTTAAACAGTTCCTATTAAAATGACGTCATTAAAGTGTGGTCATCTGTGGTGGATAATTCAGTGGGATAATTCATGTCTAGTATATCTAGGAGTATACTGTATGTATGGTAGAGCACATAGAAATTGTGGATGAAATGCCTTACAGAATGATGCCATATATAAAAAAAAATGTAATTTAAAAAAAGAACGTGTTTTGGAGATATATGGGGGTGCATTTGGAGATCTGAGAATAATTGACATTTTTTGAATGGGACTCTGTTGGAGACGTTTTGGACTTAACAAATGAACCTCTTGAAATACACACATATACAACCCCAATTCCAGAAAAGTTGGGACGTTTTGTGAAATGCCATAAAATCAAGAATATGTTATCTGTTCATGCTCTTTAACCTTTATTTAATTTACTAAAGTACAAAGAAAAAAATTCATTTTGCTTCTGTCGCTGATGAAAGTCTGGATTGTCCCTTTGGTCTTTGGGACTGAGAACCCGAAATCCATTTTTCCCGGAAACAAGTTGAAATGTGGACTCATCTGAGCACTGCACACATTTCCACCGTCTTTTTGACTATTTGAGATGAGCTCTGGCCCAGAGAACCCGACAGCATCGCTGCATAGAAGAGTAACAGAGATTCAAGTTGCATTTCTTGATGCAGCAGCAGACTGTGTTAAGTGACAGCAGTTTTCTGAAGTACTCCTGAGCCCATGTGGCTATATTTAACACCGCAGCATGACGGTTTCTTATACAATGCCATCTGAGGGCTCAAAGGCCATGCACATTCAGCATCAAAATCAAAATTTGTTCATATTTACAAAATACATTTACGTTGGTCAGTGAAAACTTTGAAAATCTTTTCTTTGTACTTTTGTCAATTAAATAAAAGTTCAAGAGAATTAACAAATCACAGATTCTTGATTTTGTTGCATTTTACAAAACGACCCAACTTTTCTGGAATTGGGGTTGTATTAGTCGGGTAGTCGGAAGAAAGCATTCTAAAAATTAACCATTTTGTTGTGTTTAATTTTTTTGACATTGATGTGCAATATTTTTATTTGTTGTAAATGACTGCATTCCTTATTTTTATGCACAGAAAACCTTCCTTTTTGTCTGAACTAAGCATCTGTATATGAAATAATATTGCAAATTAAATATGCTTATATTGGTAGCATTTTCTTTTGAACATTTATACTTGAAAAACATTGTGTGAAGAAACTTTTAAGGTGATATAAATCTTGTGTTGACATTTTCAGGATGGATTTGAAGAATTCCATTCTGAGATCTCATTTATCTTTTTTTTTTACCTCGTTATGAAGTTGAGTCATTACAGCCTTTTTTTATCAACTAAATGTTTAATTCATGTGTGCTACTTTTTCACTCAAGAACAGAATGTGTCTTAACAGAACTGTATTCACTCAGAAAGCTTTGGTCTGGTATATTTGATCTGGATTTGCATACTAATCCAGTATACTGTTTTAGTACAGAGCATCTCAACATGAACTGATTCAAAACCGACTGTGTTTCCAGAGACTCTCAGACAAACATTATAGTACTATTTGTGCAAGAACTGACTGGTGTTTGTCCGTCAGCATGCTTTGGCACATCTCCATTGTTAAAGAAAAAAACAGCCAGTCTATCAAATGAGCATAAAATGTCTTACAAGGAGCTTATTGCTATGAATTATTGACAGCTTTCCCCCATTTTACCATCAAGTGTTCTTGAGTGTTGCTTGGAGTTTATTTTTGAGAGCACACTCATTTGCAAAGGAATCTTTTGCCAACAAATGAATGATAAATGTAGATTAAATCACAATATGCTGACATTACTACAGAGTTAAATCTGTATTAATACTAGAAATATTGTGATGAATCGTACTGCTGTGCAATGACTGTACTTGATGGCATTATGGCTTTTTGAGACGTTAGCAAACTCCTTGTAATCGTTCCGATGGTAAGAAAACTTCTTATTGCTTGAAATGTGTATTTCACCCCCAAACTACAGTCTGACCTCATTATCATGGTATTCTGTTACTAATGGAATCAAAAGTCATTAACACACAGGAAGGGCCTCATGTTTCATTGTTTTTTGCTTTATGTGAAGCATGGTCTTTTTGTATGCATTGCTATTTATTCTTGTAGTGAGTGTGATGTGTGATTACAAATGACTTCATTATAAAATAAAACCAGCTAGACACTTTCATATATATATTATATTATATTTATTTACATATAGCATAATATATACAGTATATCCAATGAATATATACCATGTGTACAATATTGAAGGTAAATTGTGCAAAAGTCTTTGACACCACTATTTCATATATGTTTTCAAGGAGTAGTTCACCCAAAAATGAAAATTTGCTGAAGATTTGCTCAACCAGAGGCCATCCCAGATGTAAATGTGTTTGTTTCTTTGTCGGACCAGATTTAGAGAAATTTATCATTATATCACTTGCTCACCAGTGGATCCTCTGCAGTGAATGGGTGCCGTCAGAATGAGAGTCCAAAAAGCTGATAAAAAACATCACAATAATCTACAGATAATGCACATGAATTCCAGTCCGTCAGTTAATGTCTTGTGAAGTAAAAAGTTGTTTGTAATCAACAAATCCATCATTATTACCTTGAAACTTCCTGCAGTGAAAAAGTTCACCCCCTGTTGTCCTCTAACATTAATTCTATTATTATTTGTTAAGAACTGTTTTGACTTGTAAACTGCTTGATCTGTGCATATTTCTCTCCTGATTCAGATGAGATGACTATTTTTCAACAGAGAAAGCAATATTATGGATAGAGGACTTGGTTGAAGTTAAAAACGTTTCTTACAAACACTTCACTTTTCCACTTTTTTCTTACAAAGCCTTTAATGTTAGATATTACTTGATGGACTGGAGTTGTGTGCATTATCTGTATATTATTGTGATGTTTTTATCAGCTGTTTTGACTCTCATTCTAACGGCACCCATTCACTGCAGAGGATCCACTGGTGAGCAAGTGATGTAATGCTAATTTTCTCCAAATCTGTTCCGATGGAGAAACAAACTCAACCACATCCTGGATGGCCTGAGGGCGAGTACATTTTCAGCATTTTTTTCATTTTTGGGGCCAAATATTACTTTAAGGGGCATCAGATCATGATTGATGGCCGCGGGTCGAATAACACCATATTTTTCGCCATAATGTATGTGGTCCGCTGCCACCATGGAACTATTTATTGTAAAAGATATTGCACATTTTTATACTGAAACGAAAGAGCGACCTAGATTAAACTCTGCTAGTCAGCTTAACTGGTTAAGACAGTCAAGTTTTTGCGCTGTAAGATTAACGCATCAACCCTCAACCTCAATTTACCTTCAGTGTCCCAGACTTCTGCACTATACAGTACAGGACATGCTGTATCCGGTTCACAATAATGTGCAAGCTTTAAAAAGTGATGGATTGAAATATTTAATATTGGAGAAACAAAACAAGTGGCTTAATGTGTTATTGAAATGACACCAGGAATGAAATATCAATGTACATATGTAACGCAGGATGTGCAGAGTATAGGACGGGTTCAACAGATTCCCACCTCAAGACTGTAGAATACAAGGCCTCAGTGGTGTATGTGGTTTGTACTGAAGTAGGAAAGAAACTGTGGGTTTGATTAGTACTTAATGCACTTGCTCTGAATGTAATTACAATTATGTTTGTCAATGTCTAAAAGTAAAAACACACTTTCTGTAAAGAAACAGCAATGTTTATTTATTTGCTAGCTTTTCTGTGATTGAACTATTTAGACACATTCCTTTACCATAGCAGGAATGTTTGTAACAGTATTTACAACATTAAACAAACTACTGAGAGCGGATACAACCAGAATGTCTCTTTAATCTCTTGATTTGATGTATTTGAAAGAAGTCTCTTCTGATCAGAAATACAGAAAAAAAATTGTGAAATGTTGTCACTATTTAAAATAACTGTTTTCTATTTTAATATAGCTTAAAATGTAATTTATTCCAGTGATGGCCAAGCTGAATTCTCAGCTGTCATTACTCCAGTCGTCAGTGTCACATGATCCTTCAGAAATCATGCTAATATGCTGATTTGGTGCTCTAGAAACATCACCTATTATTATCAATGTTGAAAACAATTGAATTCTATGATAAATAAAAATGTATTAATTCAACCTAATGCAGCCTCACAATGCAGCCTCATATTAAAAATATTAAGTTCATTTAAAAAATGAGTCCAAGTATTTGAAAGGTAGTTTTTCATTAAAGGTTTTGTTAACAACTGTCCATCCTACACTGTCAAAATGTCACTATTGATTGAATAAAAGTCCCAGACAACAGACAGATGCTTTAAAGATCATATTTAATCTTGGTTAGGTTTCACCCATACAATGCAGATGAGCCTCCTCAAATTCAGTAATAATGCACCATACATCTCTGAAGGACATCTTGGTAGAAATAATACATTTGTTCAGAATGGTCAAATAAAACTAAAAAAGTCATATTCATCCTCTTCACAATATGCTGATTTAATCAGCATTGAGTAATTCTCCACATCACATAAGATAAATAAAGCCATACATTAGCATGTTTTTCTTAATATAATGATTGTTAATATTGTATTTTTCATGTAGTCAAATTCTATAATCAAATCATTTTTAAATAAGGAAATTTGGTAAATAAACAGTTTTTTTTTCTCCAGTGTTTTATCATAATGCATAATGTGAAAAAAATAAAAAGAAACATCAGTAAATCCCAACAGCTCCAACTGAAAAGGTTAAAAATGAATAATATTCAGTACACGCACTGACAACAAAAACAGATGTTTTAAAAACGAAGTGATCTGTACTCATCTGTACTTTATACAAAGCTTAGCTTCCTTCATGTTGTGATGTTCACTATAACCTTCACCTGAAACAGTCTATATCCTCGGTTAACAGTCAGTTTGAGACGTCACTCAGATGACAGTTTCTCGGAAGACTCCTATAAGGCTGTGTGGACGCTCCTGTCCCATGCGACGGGATCCAGCCCGAGAGCGCATCCTGGAGTTAGTTCCAGAATGGGAACCTGTCCTGCGCTCCGGCCCGGCCTGCAGCTGTGCCCATGTGAAGGAGCTGAGGTCGCCACAGCTGCGCAGGTGAAGGATGCCCGGACGCTTGCGCAGCGGCAGCTCCATCTGCGTCTGCCTGCGGAGGGTGGACTGCGCTGGTGCAACCTCTGAAACTGTAATGGCCTGCAAACATGAATGAAAATGACCTGTCAGCAGGGCAGGACTTAGGGGGGCGGGGGCCCCTGGGCTTGAGGTTATGTTTGGGCCCTATACCTACACTACAAATGCCCTCAAATAGAACATCATTATGGAGTAACACAAAATACACAAACATATGCTTTGAGGTTCATAAATAGTACAATTAATATGCAACATGTCTAGGCTATAGTCAAAGTTTAAATGTAATATTAAATATTCATTATAATATAATAAACAGGATGTGTTCTCTCAGTTGAGAGATCAAAACCCTGAATAACTTTGAGCAAAAAAAAAGCCAGAGATGTTGGTTTATTAGTATTATAAAAGTTATTGTCATATCTGTGTCCTCTTATGTCAGGTTCTTATTTAATCAATAAATTCAATCGAATAAAAAGACATGCTGGCTATTAACAATCAAATGAATTCACTATCAACAAAATCCATTGATGGATTGTGCAATAATGTTAAGTTTAAATATAACATTTTAATGTAGAAATATTAAATGATTGCAAAAATTAAATAAGCTACTTTTTAAAATATGAAACTACAACCGCCAGTAGGTGGCAGCAAGTGACTGTCTTAATGAGTGCGTTGAATCAACCGATTCGTTTAAAAAGCCGATTCATTTAACTTTGCAAACGACTGATTGAATCATTTGCTGGTCTGTGTAACGCCGAGGAACAAAACAGTTGTTCGGAGACGCAGCGGTTCGGCTGTTTGTTCTATTTTCTTTCTGACGGAGCAAAACGGAATTTTGTGTCTGAAATGTACTCAGCAAGTTGTTGTTTATTGTACATTTGCGATCGTGCAGATATTC